TGTGTGTGTCCTGTAAGTGGTGTGTGTGTGTGTCCTGTAAGTGGTGTGTGTGTGTGTCCTGTAAGTGGTGTGTGTGTGTCCTGTAAGTGGTGTGTGTGTCCTGTAGTACTTGTATTGCACATTTTTCAAAAGATCATGTGGCAGTAAGAGCAATGCTGACCATGAAATGCACATATTATATGCTTTGCTGCTAAGCACTGACATTACCAAAAATGGTACACGAATCATTTTCTCACAAATTCACTAATTTTAATTATGATTTCTAAAACTGTAGGTTTGTTTTTTCATATTGTGGTCATATCGCATTTCACTCGACTTCTTCAATTTGCATCTGATCTACATGGTATATCACTTGTATACCTCACCTTAGAAATCTTTCACAACATATGAAATTCCAAAAACATAATTTGAAATTATCAGATTCTAAAAAGCTTTGATGAATTCATACATGATTGTTGTTACAGAGCCAGCCACATGCATAGCGTTTGGAGATCCACATTACCGGACATTTGATGGAAAGATGATTCATTTCCAGGGTACATGTAAATACATTATGTCTATGGATTGTGAGAATCAGGATTACATGTATGTATTACATAATAAGTCAATATGTTAATTATTTATCACAGTATTGTCTTTCAATAGCGTTGCCATGGAAATCTATTTTAATTTCGTATAATTTTTTAGCTCCGCTGTCGACTTTGTCGAGCGGAGCTTATCATATGAGTGATTGTTCGTCGTCCGGCGTCCGTTGTCCGTGTCAATGTTTTACTTTTTCGACTTCGTCTTGAAAACTACAAGCCTGAATGCTTTGATACTTGGTGTATATGTACCTTGGGTAGACCTCTCTCAGATTTGTTCATTTCATGATCATATCTTTAATTCTCTAATTTTGGTGAATATTTTTGTCATTTTTGGTAATTTTCGACTTCTTGTTAAAAACCGCAAGTCCAATTGCTTTGATATTACATATATAGGTACTACATGTGGATCTCTCTCAGATTTGTTCATTTTGTAATGATATCTTCAATTCTCTAATTTTGGTGAATATTTTTGTCATTTTTGGTAAAAAGTGATATTTTCAACTTCTTGTTAAAAACCACAAATCCAATTGCTTTGATATTACATATATAGGTACTACAAGTGGACCACTCTCAAATTTGTTCATTTCATGATGATATCTTCAATTTTCTAATTTTGGTGAATATTTTTGTCATTTTTGGTAAAAAGTGATATTTTCAACTTCTTGTTAAAAACCGCAAGTCCAATTGCTTTGATATTACATATATAGGTACTACATGTGGACCACTCTCAAATTTGTTCATTTCATGATGATATCTTCAATTCTCTAATTTTGGTGAATATTTTTGTCATTTTTGGTAAAAAGTGATATTTTCTTCTTGTTAAAAACCACAATCATTTATGGTGAAAAATGATATTTTTGAAAACTTGTTGAAAACAGCAAGTCCCATTGCATTGATACTATGCATATTGTTCATTTTCTAATGATATCTTCTGTTCTTTAATTGAAATGTGCATTGCTAGCAGCGGAGCTATCTCAGCCGAGAGGCTGCTTGTTTTCAATTGAAATCTGTGTTTTTTGTTCATCATTTGCCTTTGCAAATAGATCAAAGTTTATATTTTTAACATTTTTAACTTCTTTTTCAAATCTTTAGTATTTTTTTTTATTTTTATTAAAAAAATGTAATTATTGAAAACATCTTTGTTACCCTGGCAATTAGTTTAATATGTGTGATATAAGATTGGTTGTCAGTTTGTCTTCATTTTGTTGTTTTCAGTGTTGAAGTGGAGAATGATGACAGAGGGTCATTTGGTGCTGTGTCATGGACTCAAAAGGTTACAGTGACTGTATCTGGTATGCAAGTAGACCTTGGTCAAAGTGGCTTAGTACAGGTATGTCATTAATTATACAAGCTTACAAACTCCATATTGGACAAATGCATGTGTATTGTTTCACCATCAAATCCAAAATGTCTGGCTGGCAGTTATCTTATTTACAGTTTTAAAAAACTTGGCTAAGATTTTGTTCAAAATATCACCATATTTGCTGAATTATTGTTTATAATAAACTCAGTCACTAACCTAATGGACTGTGTCATTGACTTGTTTATTATTGTTATCAGGTGAATGGTCAGATTGTTGTCCTACCTTACCTTAGTGAACCTACACTGTATATTGAGATGAGAGCTGGTAATAATATCTTTATCAACACCAATATAGGATTAAAGGTACAATTTAATTTTCCTCCAATGTACAAACCTTTTTGGCTCTAGAGTTGAATACCTTTAGCCTAATTTTGTTTTACTTGCCTGTAATAAGTCATAGTAGTGGCAAAATGTCATTCTGCTGCCTTGCCGTCGTTGTCGTTGTAAACTTTAATTGTGGGTCTGATAATTCCAATAATATTCAGCAGAATAATATTCCTAAGTCACACAGGTTTAGACTGTTTACTGTTGTCCACTGTTTGTTATGGTCTGAGTAGCTGATAACACACGTTAAATGAACCCTGCCATGTATCATGTGATATACCACATTCACATGGTATCATTTGACCAATCAGATCACGCCATTTCAGTATACAGCAATGCATGCCAGTATAATCTCAAACATCAAACATAAAAACTTGTGATACATCGCAATATTCTCTTATTGGTGACAAATAACCTATAATTGTTTTTTTCTATATAGGTTCATTGGGATGGAAAAAGTTACCTTGAAGTGAGTCTTCCTGGGATATATAGTGGTAAAACATGTGGTCTTTGTGGTAACTTTAATAGTTACCCACAAGATGACTTAAAAATGAGATCTGGGCAGATTGTTACTGATGTTGCTAAGTTTGGAAACAGTTGGAAGGTATGACATTATCAATAAGAAAACAAACAAAACAGGGTAATATATGTCAGTATGGTCATTTGTTGAATATAATTTCACCAATATTTTGACTAAAACTGACTTGAGTGAAATGTGGCACAGTGGCATGGTTCATCTTTAACTGCAATGTACTACATTTTTCAACATAATCCTGTTTATTATTTCCTACATGGACTTTGTGCATGTAATGTCTCCTCATGTTTGAATGTGGCTGATTAACAAATATTATTATACATCTGTCACCGTAACGCCATAAGTTACAGCATGCCGTAATTTTGCGGTATTGCACGGGATATTTTCATCCTATCATATTAGGAAACGCTAATTCGAAATATGGAGCAATTACGTGCATAAGCATCCTCTAATAATAAAAACAAACATAGCTTCCTCCAGGGTTTGACTGGACCCCACACAAAGAAGTTCGCTAAATCTGTTATAAACGTTTTGGATTTACATTCTAAACGTTTTGATGTATCCCTGGGGGAATGTACACGGTCAGACAGTATGCGGTCGCATCGACCTCCACTGTGCGCTGCTCGATACTACCGCTGTACTGTACATCCTCATAATAACCTTACGTTAATATTAAGGAATTTTCTGCATGAGTTCACTTATGACAACCAGTCACCATAATTCATGTCATATGTTCAGTTATGGCATCCAATCACCATAATTCATGTCATGTGTTCAGTTA